TTCACGGAAAAAAAAAAAAAAAAAAAAATGAATTCACCATAAACAACATCTTCCACCCCAAGCTTTCATAATTGCAAGTTATGATTCATTACGTACAAACATGAATTCAAACCCGAAAAACCACTTAATTTTTCTCACTTTCAAAATGTTCATCTGTGAATATTCATCTATGTAATAACCACTTGTGGCCTCCTCGGACCACTTCAACAGACAAGCTCCCGCATAGCTAACTGAATGTTAGGCCAAGGGCGCGATTCCTGCTATAGGGGCCCATGCATGGGTTCAAAAGCATCGGCCCTGTGCAGATCTCAGCGGTGAAACCCGATAGTTCATCAGGGAACTTTGAAGGCCGAAGCAGATAAAATCCTTTGTGGCTGCTGAGCACTCAAATCAGTTGTGAGCCTCCTTATTTTGCACGGGCCTTCTTGCCTGAGTACAAGTCTCCATCTCGATCCTGCAAGGAGCCCGTCAATCAACCAATAAAGCGTGCTCTCAAAGTCCTCGACTGCCGGGAAGGCCACCCGTGTTCGGTGTCGCGTCGGACTTGCGAGGAGTTTAAGCATAAATTTAAATAATCACGACGACAAAGGTAGAAATATTTGTAAAGTTCTCCAAAGGATAAAAACAAAAACTGGTCGCACCGCTTCGACGCCGCCGATGGCAGAACTAAGGGGGATAGCCCCGTCGGACCCTCAACCCCTCGGTCCCTTCGTGCTATTCCAATACCCTCTCGTCGTCGACACTCGACCTTGATCCTATAATCTCTCCGTTGAAAGTTCGACACCATAACGAACAGTGTTAGGTCTAGAGTTCGGTCTAGTTATGACGGACACCTAAATAAGAATGGATACTGTACGACACGCGAATCTTACTGAAAATACTTTGAGGGTTACCTCATTGTCGATGTCGTTCTCTGCATGTACGCACAAGTCACAGGCAAGCGCACCAATCAAACGAGACATAATCCTTCAAATCCTAGTTTGATCAGAAATAAAAGATCTGGCCGGCGACCAATGCCAATTTTCACGATCATCAAGGGGAAAACAAATCACGTGCGCCTTAAGTCTACGCGCCCACACACTCTTTACTCTAGTCAATCATCAAGTCAACGTAAATCACAAACACAGTCGCGCCCTCGTGCAAAATACTTAAATTTTTAAATTGAACTTATCTTTCGTCACTTGCAAAAACCAGGGCGGATACCCTTGTAAGGGTATTCGCACCGACAGCTTACCAGACCATATTAAGCGACGTCCCCATCGCTTCGCAGGATAAAAAAACTATAAATTCATCCAACCTCCAAATGCTAACGAGAAAGGAAGCAATCCGATTAGGCGACAGACTCAGGCTCGAGACCTTCAACAATCCATGCCCATACAGCTATATGCTGCCAGGGTTCCAATATGGGTCTCCATTGTCCTGACACTAGGACACAGGTGTACTGGACATACGTACTACAGCATAAGTCTCAATGACCCCTCTCAACTGTCCTCTCCCCTTTGTCCTAGACAAACGCCGACTTCTCCTTCGGTGTCCCTAGTCTCTATCCTGCAAGCAGAGGCATAACCAGGGACGCGGGCCCTAACCGAGACCTTTGAAGGTACTCTTGCCTCCGTCCAACAATTTGTGCAATCAAACATATATATATATATATATATATACATAAATCTCATCATAGACTCTACCTGCAGTCTAGTACAGGAAGTTCAGATCTCCATTTTGGCCCACCATAGTATGGGTGATCGTGCCAGATCTACGGCCTACCACGTTGTTATTTTAGCGGTAGTGCCCTCGCAGGTTGCGCCTCGATAGAATTTCTTCTGATAAGCATTCAATAAGGACTCAAAAAAACTCGACTCGACTCCTATCCCATGTCGTTCCACAGGAGTAACGCCGGTCAGCACCCGACTAGGTGGCCACACCCCTTTTAAGTCTTTACTCCCTTGGCAAGACGTAGGCCTGCTGTTCAGGTTACGCCGATCAGGAGCCGACACTAGGGGTTGCGCCCTAGTGATGCTAAACTTTACCGTTAGCTTGGTATTCTCATATATGCCCCAAGATTAGCACAAGTGGTTGGACGGTGTGTCGCAACAAAACAGGCCTATTGTGGGACTACGCAAAGGTCTTCCACACATAAAAGGTATTTATCGGTTCTTTGTGGGACAACAAAGAGAGAACACGACAACCTCTTCATATTCACAAAATAAAAATTATCGTCAGATTCACAAGGTTGTGACCTCCCTACTTGATCAGGGCAAGAAGACCACCTCTCAGTGACATCTCTCAAAATAAATCACTCTTGCGACGTCCTAAATTTCAGCAATGGCCAAATAAAAACTTGGTCCTTCTCGTCAGACTTTATCATTCAAAATCAGTTTACCATGCCATTAAATGTTATTAACCACATTTCATATGAAGGAGGTCTCACTCAATAGGTCTCTCAGTCATCCCTTTTCTTTTTAGGATGAACTCTCATGCGACTTTTTTCTTTAGTGCATCTTCCCTCTCTGAAGATGAATCTTCCAATAAACAAACGACTACCTCCCCCCGCGAAGGTGTCTCAACCATAAAACAACTCAAAATGAAAGACCATCTTATGGGTTATCATCATAACTCAACAATAAACATTCGACATGGTAAGCATTCGAGTCTCAAATACTCATAAATCCTTTAGGATTCTCACACTCGTTCACAAAAACAGACTACACTCCCTCTCCTTATACTTGGCCCTATCATCTGCCCCTAGGCAGGTCGCACGAGTATACCGAAGAGTAGACAGTTCACATTCATTCACCTTGACGAAATACATAATACATAAGATGTTTCTAATACATTTCTTACACAAAACCATCATACATCAGGATAAAACAACACATGTGAGAGTGGTTGTGATCGTCATATATAGGGGAAGAGTCTCAACATAGAACTCTACTCAAAAATACACTCAGGGACAAGATACCTCATCCAAAAAACACATATAGTAGCCCAGACCCATAACTTACTCAGATCAATCAATGTCACTCTCAATATGGTACATGCATGGTCAACCATACTGCTTAGCAATATCGCTGAGATAAGTATTGAATCTGAATATCAGAGTTAAGAAAAAAAATACCCTTATCATACACATGTTATCTTACATGATCCTGACTCATATGCCTACAGAAAGAGTCTGAATGAGAATCTCACGTTGTAATCTACCATACGTACAACTAAACAGCGTAGGTATTCAAACTTCTAACAGAACTACAAAGGAAAGGAAGGGCGAATATCCAATCAGAACGAAAGCTCAACCCTGCCTCACCACGTCCTACTGACCCCCTACATGTATGCGAACCAGTCCCTACTCACTCATCTTCTCCTGGTTCTGTCTATACAACTGGCCCTGCCTCCATCTGCAGATCGCTCTACTATTCTACCTTGTCTATCATACATCCTACCACCACTCTCAGTAACCCTCCCTGCTTCCTTGTCCTTCAAAAACTTAGGACACTACAAGGTCCTATGCTCCCCATCGTTGCAAAAAATAGGTCGGGTCAAAGGACTTTCTTAGCCTCTTCTTCTTTCTCTTAGACCCAGGCGATGAACTTGCCTCACTGATCTCTCTACTCAGCTCGTAGCTCTGAGGTACGTCCATAGGCTCCTCAGGTCTCCCACTCATCTCCTGAGTACTCGACTTTGCCCGTATCCTAACTCCTTCAGGTCTGTACTCGGAAGTATCCAGTCTTTGTGGCCTACCCTCAATGACGCCCTCTATCGCAATCACCACCTCTTTCTCTGGAGGCTCCTCTACCCTTTGCTCAGGCGAAAATAAACTCGCCTCTTCCTGCATAGTATCAACTGCCTCAAGGAGCACATCCATAGATTCTTCCCCTGAACCCTGAATCGGCTTGCTGCTAGCTGTCTGTTGTCCCCTCTCGTCTGATAATGGCATAGTCTCTGTCATGGGTTCCACGGTTGTTGCTAGCAACGTGGCGAGTTCAGTACACACCTTGAACTCAAAGGCCTCTCTCTCTGCCTCCCTCTTTGTCTTTGCCTCCTCAGGCTCCAGGATGACTCTTCTCATGGGCGGCTCCTGTAGGAGTTCAACTGCAGTTGGTTGCCCGAATAAGCCCAGTACTGACTCTCTTTAAGGGTCATGCCGACTACTCCATGCCCCGTCCACTACCTTGGCAGGCTCCTTTCTTTCTGTCCTTTCATCCCCATTTCGAGGCCGCTGCCGCAAATCCTGGATAATGGCAGCCTGGCTAGCCACCAATTCTCTGAGCTCTCGGACTTCCGCCTCAGCCGCCTCCAGACGTGCTCCAAGGCTTGCCTCCTTCATTTTCTTTCCGGCCAGATCAGCTTCCAACATCAGGTACCTATTGAAGGATGTCTTGGTTAGGAAGCGGATTTTCCGGTCGAGGTACTCGTCTGCCTTTCTATATGTCCCAACTTCTGCGCTCTTTAGAGTCGCCAATCCTTTGCCATGCTGGTCGAGAAACTCATCCCACATCTCCTTGATTCCGCATGGCTTAGGCGGTGGTGGTTGATCTGGGAGTGCACCTGCCTCCTCTAACCTCTGTCTTTCCTGCCAGATTTCCTCCAAGCGCTTCCCAACTCTGGCCCGTTTCTCCTCGGCTGTCTCCCCTGCCGGTACTCTCCCTCTCGTACGATGGTCCGCTCTCCCTGGAATCTCAGCTCCAATCTCTCCTTCTGCCTGACGAGGCTCTTGTGGTGGCTCCCTAGGTACGGGCTCCTCGATGTCAGGGTGCTCGAGGGCATGTGCTGCTAGGTACCTATCTATTGTGGAGGTGGTCTCTCTCCTCCAGTTCGTCTTTTCCCGCTCCATCTCCACCCTCACTCCCGGTGACAGAATTACCTCTGGTGGCGAGGACGGAACCTCCTCCTGCCGAGCCCCCTCCTCACGGGCGATCTCCGGTGTGATTTCCGGCCCCAACTCTGCAGCATGCGTCTGAGGTGGAGTGTCCTCTCCAACCTCTATCACCTCCTCGACAACACCTCTCTCGGCTCTCTGCCTTGTCTCCTGCTCAGGTTCAAGGACCTCTTCTCGTGGCATATCTCTACTCCGCTCATCATGCCCCTCACTAGCCTGAGGCACTCCCACTGAGACACATCAAGGTGCGCCTCCAATTCCTGCAATGATCCACTAGATGGTGCCCCCTCCTCTCTCGCGCGCTGGGGAGACTCGCTCCAATGTGTTCTAGTAAAGCGCTGGAAGACCACCAGGCCTATCCCACATTCGGGGTATGCCCCTTGCTCCTCAGCCTCAAGTATTAACTCCTCTCGCCTTGCGAGTGCATTCCGTCCCCCTCGCGATGGCATGGTCTCTCTGGGCTCCGGGTCCCTCTTTCTCTTGCTCCTCAGGCGTCTCTCAACCCTAGGCTGAGGTGGCTCCGGTCGTCGAACCTCCATCAAATGCGCCCTGCAGCTCTCCCAGTCTCGAGCCATGTCTCTGATCTGCCTGGCCAAAGGTCTATCCGCCTTTCTGGTCCATAAGGGTAATGCCCTCGCCCACTCATCCCTCAGCATGCGCTGGCCGTGCATAAACTGCTCGAAAGCGTGGATGAAGTCCTCCACATTCCCAATCTCTAGGCGGATTGGCCTGCCGTCAGGACCCATAGGCGATGGTCGTAGCTCCTGCATCCTTATCTCCACCTCTGGCCAGGTCCTCGCCTCCCTACGAATCCTCGCGATGGGCTGAGCAAACCTACCAGCTCCTCTCAGCTTCTCGCTCGTCTGAGTCATCGTCCAACCCATATGCTCTGCATACCCCCGAAAGTCGTCCAAAAATAGCTCTATACCCCCGTCATTGTATACGGGTGTGCCCTCTCGATGGTGAGACTCATGCCGCTCATAACCTCCTGATGCTCCCAATGGCCTCCGCGGCGGCCGTGTCCCCCTCCCTTCCCTTGGCATGGCTGTCTTCACAAAGTCAGACTTGCACAACAGTCGACGGAGACGACAGACACACATTGAGGTAAGCAAACAGGTGGCAATAGAACAAGCTCAGTCAGGTCAGACCAAACATATTCATCATGCACTCATATCTACTTTACACATCCTATCATCCTACTCTAAGGAAGTTGGATTGTCTATCATCTTACCTCTTCTCTTGCCACAAACTTCTTCAATCTCGTTCCCGACACCCAATCTTTCCATTTTGTCCTATCCAGTTACTCAATTTGGTAGGCACCGAAATCTCCACACCGCACAATCCGATAGGGTCCTAACCATAACTTGTCAAGTTTCCTAGACCACTGCTTCTCCAAGGACGAGTCATACAAGAGTACGACGTCTCCACCAGTCAGAGGTAGCTTTCGTACTCGCGGCAACTGGTCCCAACGAGCCTTATCCTCCATACGGTTCCTCCCCACTTGGTTGGACGTCTCCATAATTCTTTCCTCTATCGTACCTACCTCCCACGCTCGAATATCGAGTAATTCCTCAAAAGACAGGTTGATCTCAAAGTCCTGGCGCCTCCAAGTCTTTAGGAAGCTCTCGATTGGGAAGGTAGCGTGTCTCCCGTACCATAGTGTAGCCGGTGCATACTTAGTGGTTCTCTTTACCGTAATATTCTCGACAAAGAATGTCGCTCTCAGGTATTTTGGTCACTGATTAGGCCTACCTTCAGTCCACTTGGCCAGAAGTTTCGTAATGGTGCTATGTCCTCTTTCAACTGGAGCGTTTGCCTGGGGGTGTGCGGCCATGGTGTAATTGGCTACCACGCCGTATCTTGACAATAAGTCCTGTACCTCCTGGCCGGTAAACTCCGACCCCCTATCCATCAAGAATTCTCTGACAAAAGGATAATGCAAGTAGTACTCCTCGATGCAGCTAACCAAAACCGAACCGGTCTTTGTACGAATGGCCGGTCCATTTACAAAGCCAGAAAGGTTATGATCGCGCACATCGAAGATATAATTGTAGTCATGATCCCCAAGTGGCATGAAGAGTAAGTCGAGGTGTACTACGGCCCCGGCTTCCCTTTCTAGCCTTGGATGCAGCGACTCTCCTGGCCTTAGAGGAGACCGTTCTTGACAAGGTACGCAGGAACGACAGAACTTGCTAACCATCTCCATCATTCCATCCCAGTAATACAACTCGCTTATCTTGGCATACGTAGCGCTAGTTCCCAGATGCCCTCCCTCAATGTCATCATGAAGCGCAGCTATAATGTCAATCTAGCGGTTCCTTCCACATACGACCCTCCTGGGGTTGCCCAATTGCCTTTCTACAAAAAGATGGTCATCTCTTACCAAATAGAGATGTCTCATCTTTTGGGTCCTTTCGCTTGCATCTCTGTTCCGTATTTCACATGATAGGAGAAGTCCCAGCTCTAGGTAGATTCCATCGTACTTCTTTACACGGAATGCCTCTTTGATTTCTCCCTCCTCAAACTTGTCATTCTGGCTTTCTGGCACCACCTCTTCACTCTCAGCCGGATTCAGCGAGCCTATTTGATCAAAGTTTTCATGCAGAAGTGTATTGATGGGGAGATACATCCCTCCCATCAATTCCTCGTGCTTCTCTATCTAGTCCGGTTCTTCCTCTATCGTTCTTACCTCCTCTACCAAACTATGCGCGCCTGTTAGTGTCAACTTCATCATCCATTGGACATTTTTGTCGCCCCATGGGTCCTCTTCTTCAAAAGGCTTGAGCACCAGTTTTGCCTTTATTCATACCCTCGGGGTGCAATCCTAATGGGATGGCCCACACAGTTCGGCACTCATAAAGACCATTCATTTATATGAAGACGGGCGTCTTCCTCTTGATCCAGGAACCCATCAACTGGGGGCGCAGCCTCTACTACCGTTTCCTTCTGCTGGTCCCAGTCAATGTGGCTTAACCCATCCGCTATATTCTTGTTTCCAAGGATTTTGTCTAACTCGAAGTTCAACATCCAGATGTATGTCAACCATCTGGCGACATGGAACATAGTTTCTTAATGAATAGGCGAGCGCGGTTGGGTCCACTCTCAAGATGAACCTCCTGCCAAAGATATAGTTCCTGAAGATCCTGAGGCAGTGAAGGACGACGAGAGTCTCCTTCTTAAACTGAGAATAGTTTCTCTTAGTTGTATTCAGAGTCCGACTCTCAAACCTTAGTGGTCTCTCCTTTCCTCCAACATCTTCTCAGATCAAGACTCCTCCCAAGGCAGTCGGTCCAACGTCTGTTTCAACGACAAATGGTCTCACTTCTGTGGCATCATAGTCCGGCGCTCCTAATACTAACCCTCCTTCTCGAAATTCCTCCTTCATCTTAGACACATATTTTTTCTGCTCCTCACCCAGATCTACTCCTGGTCCTGACGAACTAACTTTCTCAAGTGTTCAGTCTTGGCGGCAAAATTATTAACGAAGGTTCTTCAAAACCCATAAGTGTCGAGGAAGCTTATGACATCAGTTATTGAATGGAAAGGTAATGGTCATTCGGTAATTTTGTCAGTTTTTTTTTCATGTCTGGCCAACGACCTTTCTCACTACAGGCGAAACCCAAGATGGTGGCTTCCCACATGCAGTGTCTGGATTTGACTCCACTTGCTGTGAGGTTGTGTTCCTCAAGCAAACTCCAGACTTTGTCTAGGTCTTGAACGTGCTTCCAGACAAAGCGTCTTATTCCTGGTAAGACCTCATCGCTCTTCTTCTCTCTCGATCATTTTACTACTAAATCGTCGATATACAGTTGAGTGATGTGCGGGCTGACTAATTGCATAGCTCGAATCATAGCTCGCTGAACCATTGCTACTGCGTTTGTCCACCCTTGTGGGGCCACATTCATATGGATCAATCCTCTGGGCGTATGCATCGCTGTCACTGGCCTGTCTGGTGAGTTGACTGGAAACAGATCGTACCCTGAGTAAAGGTCTATAAGTGAAATTATAGGCATCCCAACACATGATTCTGACAGCACGTCTGCATTCGGTAACCCTCCCGCATCTCGCACAGTCACTACATTCAGTCGTTGTAAGTCTTGCACTCATCGCAGCGTCTCATTAGGTTTAACAAAACAAAACCACGGAGTCGCGTACAGCCCACTTGAGTAGTCAGCAACATGCGTACGTATCTTGTCGTCGAGGTAATCCACTACCTTCTTCTCCTCGTCAGGATTGGGGTACCGTGCCCCTCTCAAGTTCCATGCCTCATGCGGCACGATACGTATCCGGATCATGGGGATCTTGTCCACGTCCAATCGCCCTCGCTGATCGTTGTTGAACACATAGGCTCGATGTCTTCTTCATTAGCTCTATCATCAGTGCCCTCTCCTTGGGTAGCAGAAATTCTTGCTATCCCACTATCAACTTCTCCTCATTTTCTTCATTGATACGACATGGCTCCGCCGCCGCCTGCTCTCTCATGTGTCGTATCTATCCTCGTTACCATTTATAATAGACCTCATCATCTTCTGTGACGAAGACGGGAACTGGGCGGCACTTTTTATCTATCGTTTTGTACCGTCTTTGGGAACCCTGCTTGAGTCGTCCCCTAAAAAAAATCGACTTACCGTTCGGGTCGGCATCAATGCGGGGTCCCTCCTTCCGCCTGGAAGCCGATAAACCAACTCCAGTTCCCCAGCATGGGGACACTTCAGGATCTGGTCCCTTAACGCCTAGATGGCATCTGGATCCGCCATCTCATGCGTGGTCACTATATCCATGACCTTGTTCACGTCTGATAGGCTGAGGAAAAATGCCTCACCCCTTTCTTCGAGAGAAGGTTAACAACTTGTAATATTTTCAGGTCCTTTTTCAGCTCCCCATAGTATACCCATCCAAGCATTTGGAAAGGGGAACTTGAAACCGCTTTCAGAAGCTTCAGCCACTCCAGATCATTTCAGAGGTTTGAGGTCTCTCCATCTGAAGCTCCTGAAATGATCTGAAGTGGCTGAAAATCTGAAAGCAATTTCAGGTCCCCCAATCCAAGCATTTAGACGGGGGGACATGAAACCTCTTTCAGAAGTTTCAGCCACTTCAAATCATTTCAGAGGTTTCAGGTCTCCCCACCCGAAACTCCTGAAATGATCTGAAGTCGCTGAAAATATGAAAGCGGTTTCATATGTCCACATCCAAGCATTTGGATGAGGGGACCTGACACCACTTTCAGAAGCTTCAACCACTTTCGATCATTTTAGAGGTTTCAGGTCTCTCCATCTGAAACTCCTGAAATAATATGAAGTGGCTGAAGCTTCTGAAAGCGGTTTCATGTCCCCCCATCCAAGCATTTGGACGGGGGGACCTGAAACTGTTTTCAAAAGCTTCAGCCACTTCATATCATTTCAAAGGTTTCAGGTTTTCCCACCTGAAACTCGTGAATGGAGAAAAGGTTATCCATCTGAAACTCCTGAAATGATATGAAGTGGTTGAAAATTTGAAAGCAGTTTCAGGTCCCCCCATCCAAACATTTGGACGGGGGGACCTGAAACCTCTTTCAGAAGCTTCAGCCACTTCAAATCATTTCAAAGGTTTCAAGTCTCCCACCCGAAACTCCTGAAATGATCTGAAGTTACTGAAAATCTGAAAACGGTTTTAGATGCCCTCATGCAAGCATCTGGATGGGGGGACCTGAAACCACTTTTATAAGTTTCAACCACTTCAGATCTTTTCAGAGGTTTCAGGTCTCTCCATCTGAAACTCTTGAAATAATATGAAGTGGCTGAAGCTTTTGAAAGCGTTTTCATGCCCCCTCATCCAAACATTTGGACGGGGGGACGTGAAACTACTTTCAGAAGCTTCAACCACTTCATATCATTTAAGAGGTTTCAGGTCTCGTCACCTGAAACTCCTGAAATGATCTGAAGTGGCTGAAAATGTGAAAGTCGTTTCAGATGCTCCCATCCAACCATTTGGATACG